AAGGTTGCCATGCGCGGTGAGGTCTCGGGGTTCCGCAGAAGGTAACGTCCACAGTTCTCTAGGAGATTGCAGATGATCTCAATATTCATCCTCGAGAAGTCGTCGAGGCTGACCTTGAGACAATGAAAGACAACGTGCTCCGGGACGATGCCAAATTTGGTCAGTTCAGCGAGATAACGGATGTTGCTCAAGCGAACTTGGCCGAGGAAGTCTTTATCCTTCCGTCTCTGTAGACTGCGGAACTCGGCATCAAGATAATCGACAAGACCTTTGGGGATATCCGGCATGTATCTGCCCAAAGTAGCAGCAAGCCTCGCCCAAGATGGCAAAAGATCGCCGCGGCCTTTGGGGACTTCAGTCAAAGCCTTGATCAGTCTGTTGCGCGAGGCCTTCGAGTTGAGATAGCAGAAGTCGATAGCAGCTTGGTCAATAACGTCCTTGTTGGTGAGATCTGGCAAGCGAGCCAACACTGCATCCACCTGAGCGCCAATAGTTTTGTTGGCTATGGAGGTGGATTGATCTTCGGCTGCGTCCGGGACTTTGGGCGGTTCAGGTGCATCGGTGGCTTCTACTTTCTTGCCCACTTGCTCCTCATTATCGGGTTTCTTCTTCTTGCCGTCGTCCAAGAGAATTCCCGGAACTTTGCCCTTCAGGTCGACGAGGTTTTCGTAGAAGCGTCGCTCATCCTCATCTTCCCAAATCCCAGCACCGTCTCCAAGGCCTCGAAGATAGTCGCCGGCCTTGACTAGACCAATCGAGCCGTTGGTGTTTGCCAGCGAGTCATCACTCTCCTTGAGATCAGGCATGTCAGCGCCAATGGCGTCAGCAATTGCCTGAGCATTCGCTACCAACCGCTCTTGAGCCTTCATTTGCTTTTCAAAGTTGGCCTGTCGATCTTCAAAAACTTCGCCTGACTTGACATAGGCCTCAGCATTGCGTCGAGCTTGAGAATGGATCGATTTCTGGTCTCGGACGACATGGCTCTTGACATCCTCAAAGTACTTTTTGAGGATCGTCTTGAACTTTTCCTGAAGCTCAGGAGGCGTGAAAGGATGATCTTCGGTGTCAACAACTTGGTCTTCGCCGCCACTCTCCCCATGCCCAATTCCATTGGCAGCCTTGGTTGCGCCGTCCTCCTCGACTGTCTTTCGTCCCTCAGCTGAAGCAGACTTGACGCCCATGATATCCCAGCTGAAAGCCTTTACGAAGATGACGAGTAGAGGCAAGTTTACGTGCTCACGGTCGTGGCCTAACAAATCCTTCAGCACCTCGAGGGGAAAGGGTTCGGTAGCGCCGCTCCTGTTTGCCTGCGCTCTAGGCTTCAGCTCAGCAACCTTGCCGGTGGCGCCCTTGGTAGCATCGTCTGGACGTGTAACGTCATCGAGGGTTCGCAGAACATCAACCAGCCAAAGCTCGGTGACGATGCGCAGGAGCACGCGCTGGCGCGTCAAGCGCTCTTTCTCCTCCTTCTCGCGAACCTCGGGTGCCAATGACTTGAGCAAGCTCTTGTCAGGCGTTGCCATTCCCTTCCCAAGCAGCCATCCTAGATATTCGGTGAACTCGCTGGGGCCAAAGCGCTGGTGCAGGGCGCTGACGATTTCGACACCGGCTTCGATCTCGCCGGGGGACTTGAGTCTGCAAAGACCTTCGAAACAGGCAGAGACAATTTCGGAGAGGTACTTGTGCAAGCTGAGGGTGCGAATCTCTTGGAGGAAGGTGTTTAGTGTCGCGGCTGATACGGCGGTTCGTAGGCGCTTGATAAAGGCGGTATTCTTCTTGAGGGAGGAATCCAGAGATTTACTGACAGCGAACAGATCTGTGTAGGAGGAGCAAGTCAGAGGAGGGGTGTTGGGTAGGGTGGGGTCTGAACCCGATGTACGAACCTTGCTCGCCGTCCCAAGCGCGGGTGTTCAAGGAGCGCAATTCACCTGAGTGATTGTTAGCGGAGTGTCGAGTAGTAGAAGAGAAAGCGGCGGAACTGACGCTTCCTAGCACGATCCATGGCGGATCGTGAGAATCGAGTGTTGTATGTGCAAGAGTTGAAAGCGGACGGGTGCTACATAGGGCAGGATGGCACTGATGATGTCGGGAGCTGATGCTATGGGATCGAGTGTTGTAAACGAATGTGACTCTGCGCGTCAACATGGGCCGGCATCGGTAAGATTGTTCGCAGCGGCAGGCCTTGCCTGGAAGGACAAGTGGTCGTGTCGGTTCGGGTTTGTGTGTCTGATGTTGTTGGCGATTGTGTTGGCGCTGCTGAGAGAATTCTGAACCAGACGTGAAGGTGAGGAGCCGTCGGGTTTGTCTGTCGCTGCTGGATCTGCACAAAGTCGGGGCAGCGACGGCGGCGGCTGTCTAGGGGGTTTTGGTAGCGACCTTGGAGATCCAGGAAGGCAGTGGAGTGGGAGCCTTCCAGGTTTGCAAGGCTAGCTTAGGTGCCTTGTCAGTGAGAGTTTCGGAGGTGGGAACCTTCTCAGCGCATAGTTACTGCCGTGGGTAGCCTATAGCTTAGGTAGGTAGGTACTCAAGTTAGGATTTGATTTGCCGCCTCGGGTACCTCATTTCACGGTCATCTTAGCGGTCCGGGCGGCGAGCGTCATGACCCAGCGCTCCGGGTACCTTTATCGCCCGCTGGGCACTTCCAAGTTCCCACATCCACCAGAACCCGGATGAGCGTCGGAAGGATTTACATTGATGCGAAAGTGGAAGATGGCATATGGAATCAAGTCTTCAGGATATGAAATGGCATCTGTCTTCACGGGGTTCCCTCTCACTCAGCCGCATAACAAGTTTTCATGTTGATTTATCATTAATTTACTCAAGTATCTGAAGACTCCAAGTTTTGGAGATGTCTAAGGCTCAACTCAGCTCGTCTTGTCCAACCATAAGATCTAAATTGCCAAATTGTGCCCATCTTTCGTATATTCGTGGCGGAAGCCCTTATGGACATGCTTGCTTCCACCAGCGCGAGAAGTCTTTCATTCGAGGAAAGGTGAAGCAAGATTCGAGCGCGGATTCAGAGCCGACATAGGGATTCCTAAGGCAGTTTCCACGGACCGCCATGCGAATTGGCAAATGGCGGGCACGCCTCGATCAAGTATGCAAATCTGGCGATCCGACTGCCAATCCAACTGCCAACCGATCAGCCACAACATCACGCATCTGGCTTGTGACTAAATCTCTACGCAATGCGAAATCACAACTCTGAAGGTGTAGCTGGCCCAGACACCTGCCCTCACTCAAGGCTGTTTCACATTGAGTTAGAATTTTGTCTGTCGGATGAGAGGTCACGCCGCAATGGATGAAAAAAGACCAGTCATTGCAACATTTGCAAGCATTGAAGGTCTGACAAGCCACGATTTTGCCCGGGTCTTTTGTCGCCATATCCACGCGCGAGACTACTCGTGAGCCACGACATGAGTCTTACAGGCAACACGAGAGAAATCTCCGCAAACCGTGGTGATGGGTTCCAAGTCGTGCGACGTGCTACGCCAATGACCCCAGGATGACGGGGTCAAAAGCCCTGACTCAACGGCATGTAGACGAATGCTAGGTCTGCCAAACATTGCGCAGAAAAGCCATCGGCGGCATACGTATCTGACAACCAATCACTATCTTCCGACATGCACAAGCACAATAATCGCTCGGTGGAAAATCAGACATGATGATGTGTGGCCTGTAGAACGAAGCCTCGAGCTCCAAATCGCGCCGAAACCGTCCCGTCAGCACCGGTCGTGGACAAGGTTCTCGGTTCTCGGTTCTCTTCTTTTCCCAGAACCTCCCCGTTCCGGGCCCCTTCCACGGGCCATTCCCGGGCCCAGGGGTTTGGACCGGGAATCCATTTGAACCAGCCGACCAATCCGGGGCCTTTAAAGGCCCAGCCGATAGAAACGGGGGGGAAAGTCGAATTAAGCATCTCCGCTGAGATGTACCTCGTCCGTTGCTTTGTGCCCTTATCGCCCCAATAGCATCCGTCCGACCGCCGATGTCAAACTGCCCGAGAGAAGAATGACGCCAACTGATAAGAATCCCGCTCCAGCGTGCCAGTGCACACCCTTCCTCCGCGGAACTCTTCGACACTAGAGTCCACTCCCTCCTAGCTGAAAAGTTGCATCTCCTCGCCTCACGCCGTCCCCTACCCGTCCGTCTCCCGAGGCGCTGAAAAGAAATGGCCTCTTGCCTGGGGCTGACATGGGAAAGAGCTGCCATTTGTTCTGTTCCTCGAGTGCCGTCGAATAACGTGAGTTGCGACTTGCCTGGTTTGGACTCTTTAGGTCTTTCTTATTCGTCGGCGGGTCGTCTTCCCACTTACACGATACTTTCACCAAGGCCAACCAGGGCACTCAAGCTCAAGTATCTGGTCAGGATGGAATATGGCACGGCATGTTCTGTGCAAGGTCGGGGGACTCTTTCTACATACCGTACGACCGTCAGGGCACTTTCTCGTAGAGACGATCCTGCTCACCCACAGGGTTGCTAATGTAATGGGCTCCTATCTTAGCGTCACCTCCGTCTGATGATGTGATGTTGTATTTCCCATCCCAATCCTAGGGCCTGATAATTTTTGGCTTTGCCATACCATACCATGCCATGCAGCAATCCCCCATCTCCCCATCGCTCGTCCCTTGTCGTGCGTCCGGCCCGCCCACACCACAGACACCAAACTCCGGCCCCAGGAAATCCAATTCTCACCTCCACTAACCCAACCCACTCAGCATTGTTTCTTATTTCATCCTTGCCCGGCGTTCGTAAATTCCCTCTTTCCTCTATAATCTGTGGCTGTCTATTCTGCAACATAAGCGATTCTGCGTCGTGCCTTGTTTTCTCATTGAAATACTTCATTAACGCTCGCCTGGCGCCTAAGCAGTTTCATGGTTGGCTTGTGATTGCCATTCACGACTGAGACAACTGTTACCCCGGACACCAATCTTCCTCAATTTCATCTATCTACTCTTCCTCATCAAGCTCGTCATACCAAGGAAACCCGGCGTTTATTAATCATGGATACTCTCCCCATTCCTGGACCAATTCCCTCCCGGGAAGCACACGCAAAAAAAGACCTAAACTTCCCTCCGAGTCCAGCAACGACAGTCAGGGAAGGTTTGTCTTATAGCATCGACGGCGGGTCAGATTGTTCATTATCAGGATCCTTGCTAAACGAGGTCATTGTCGAGGGGCCCCGCACATATCCCCTTCCTCCCAAGTCCAGAGTCAACAAGGTCCTCACGGAAGACCTGAAGACACCCGACAGCCATGTCACCCGAGATCCCCGACTAATACGCCTGACGGGACTTCACCCCTTCAACGTCGAGGCCCCCCTGAGCGAACTGTACGACGAAGGCTTCATCACTACCAAAGACCTCCATTATGTACGCAACCACGGCCCTGTACCAAAAGTCGAGGACGAAGACATGTTTGATTGGGAGTTCACCGTCGAGGGCTTGGTCGAGAACCCCATCAAAATGACGCTTAGAGACCTCATCTCAGACTACGAGCAGATCACCTACCCCGTCACCCTCGTATGTGCTGGTAACCGCCGGAAAGAACAAAACATGGTCAGAAAGTCCAAGGGCTTCTCATGGGGCGCCGCCGGCCTGTCCACAGCCATCTGGACCGGCGTCTCGATCGGCGACCTCCTCGCCAAGGCGATGCCCAAGAGGGGTGCCAAGTATGTCTGCTTCGAGGGCGCCGACAAGCTACCCAACGGATACTATGGAACGAGCATCAAGCTCAACTGGTGCATGGACCCAAACCGCGGAGTGACCGTATGCTACCGCATGAACGGCGAGCTGCTCCATCCCGACCACGGAAAGCCCGTACGCATCATCATCCCCGGGCAGATCGGCGGCAGAAGCGTGAAATGGCTCAAGAAGATTATCGTGACCAAGGAACCGAGCGACAACTGGTACCACATTTACGACAACCGCGTGCTCCCCACCATGGTTTCCCCGGACGCCAGCGCCGATCTCCCCGAAGTCTGGAAAGATGAACGATACGCCATTTACGACCTCAACACAAATAGTGCCACCTGCTACCCCGCGCACGATGAGGACCTCCCGTTAGCCAACGGACCAGAGTCCTACAATGTCCGCGGGTACGCGTACAGCGGTGGCGGCAGACGCATCACCAGAGTGGAAATAACACTGGACCGCGGCAAGACGTGGGCTCTCGCCAACGTCAACTACCCCGAAGACACGTACCGTCTCGCTCCCGAGGGCGAGACCCTCTACGGCGGCCGCGTGGACATGGACTGGAGGGAGACCTGCTTCTGCTGGTGCTTCTGGGACCTGGACATCCCTGTCGCCACGCTCGCGGACGCGGCAGACATCATGGTCCGCGCCATGGACGAGGGCATGATGGTGCAACCGAGAGACATGTACTGGAGTGTCTTGGGCATGATGAACAACCCGTGGTTCAGGGTCGTTATCCACAGGGAAGGGCACAGCCTGCGCTTCGAACACCCCACGCAACCAGCGCTGATGCCGGGCGGGTGGATGGACCGGGTAAAGAAGGCCGGAGGAAACTTGGCCAACGGATTCTGGGGCGAGAAGATCGAGGGTGAGACCGAGAGCGCCGCCGAGCTGGAGCCGGTCAAGGAAATCTGCATGACCAAGGTCACCATCAACCGGAACATCTCTATTGACGAGCTTCGCCAGCACGAAGGCGAGGAGGAGCCTTGGTTTGTCGTTAACGGCGAGGTGTACGACGGCACGCCGTTCCTCGAAGGCCACCCGGGAGGTGCAGCATCCATCTTCGGAGCCGCTGCGCAGGACGTGTCGGAAGAGTTCCTAACCATCCGTGAGTTCGCAGCCATACCCACCCCCCTCCCCCAATATACTGGTTTCAATGCTTCTAACACCTATCTCTAGACAGCGAAAACGCCAAGGCCATGATGCCTCAATACCATATCGGCACCCTCGACGAGGCAGGTCAGAAGATCCTGAGCGCAGGCGACGTCGTAGGAGCAGAGGACTCCAAAACCTCCCGCGCCGTCTTCCTGCAATCAAAGACCTGGACCAAGGGCATCCTCTCCGAAAAGACCAAGATCTCATCCGATACCAAAATCTTCACCTTTTCCCTCGAACACGCAGACCAAACCGTCGGCCTGCCCGTCGGCCAACACCTCATGATGCGCCTCCGCGACCCCGTCACCCGCGAGGCCATCATCCGCGCCTACACGCCCATGTCCGAGGGCACCGACAAGGGCAAGCTCCATGTCCTCGTGAAAATCTACTACGACGCGCCCGGGCGCCCGGGCGGCAAGATGACGCAGGCCCTCGACGCCATCCCCGTCGGCCACTTTGTCGACTTCAAAGGCCCCATTGGCAAATTCGAATACCTCGGCAACGGCCTCTGCTCCATCTCGGGAAAGCACCGCACCATACGACGATTCGTCATGATCTGCGCGGGCTCCGGCATAACACCCATCTTCCAGGTCCTCCGCGCCGTCCTCCAAGACGCCGCGGACCCGACGACGTGCCTCGTCCTCGACGGCAACCGCGTCGAGGAGGACATTCTCTGCCGCACGGAGCTCGACGCCCTGGCTGCCGCCGCCGGCCCGGATAGGTGCCGCCTGATGTACTCGCTGACTAAACCCGGGCCATCGTGGACGGGCTTGACGGGTCGCATGGACGGCTCCTTTTTCGAGAGGGAGGTGGGCAGGTGCCGGGGCGACGCTGGTGGCGACGAGCTCGTTCTCGTCTGCGGGCCGGAGCCGTTGGAGAAGGGCGTGCGCACCAGCCTTGCTGGCCTCGGCTGGAAGGAAGACGACTTGTTGTTCTTCTAGGCCAGTATCTTGGGAAAAAAAAAAGTACATTTTCAATGAAGCGTCTGTAATGCTTCGTCAAACGGCATCCAAGGGCGTCGTCGAACGGCGTTAAACCCCGTCCCGCCGCCGGGCTTACGGAACTCGGAATTCGGCACGGCCAGTCCAGGGGTCAGCAGACAGAGCCGCCACCGCACCGGACCGTCGTCGGGTTGGGTGTGAGTGGGGTTAGATTTAACGACAGCAGCGTTAACGAGAAAGAGAGTGCACAAAAGCGAGCATCTCCGGAAAGGAATCGATAATCAGTCTTCCAATCCTCTTCGTCGGCGAAGGTGATAGGATGGAAGTTGGACACTGGCCTCCAAGGTTTATGACATTGCTTATCAGCGGGTCCTTTGCTTCAACGGCGTATTTGGACATCTCCGCGGGGGGAGACTACACCAACTTCACTTGCATTTACACGCGCGACATGGGGGTGGGTGGATACCCAGCGGATGGACGTAACCTGGAATAGACCATGACCATATTTCAGCGATACATTTTATTGAACTCGTCAGATCATCAGAGTGCTTGACGCTGTTTCTCGTTATGATATAGGTGTATGATGTCGTTGCATTTGCCTTTGCAAGTCACACACCATGTTACTAAGCCACACAAACCACCTCATATGTAAAGGTGTCCGACTACACATGGGCCTAGGCCATGTCGTATATTGGTCGTCTAAGCCAACTCTGCTTCTACAATTTGGACAATCTTATTCGTCATTTCAGACGTCGTGAACTCCCGTTAAAAATATGTATAGACATTTCTTTCGTGACTTTCGTTATTCCCCCCCC